GGGGCGTGCACACAGACAAACAGGACATGGATGCCCGCGCGGGAGAAACGGACATGCAGCTCGCGCGGGGACGCATGTAGCGTGAGGAAATCCTTAGGGTCGAAACAGCCCTGGGCACCCTTACAACGAAGGAAGGGAAGGGTCCTCGAAAACCAGAGCTCGCACCCGTAGTTACCACCCGAATCTTTGGCCGTGCAGAAGCGGACATGCGTTTGCGAGACAAAGGTGGCATCTTCGGGCGCTCTGGCTTCTTGCAAAGCGGCAACCTGGACACCTAGGTGATGGAGCTGCTCTCGTAGGTACCTTGCTCTGCCAGTAAAACCATCAGCAGGGGCATATGAAGACAGATCAGGATGAGAGTCTGTCAGGGACTGGACGTTGATGGTGATCATGCGAAGAGAAATCTGCAGGGTCTGTTGGCGAGGCTGAAAGTCTGGCTCACTGGGGAGGCCGAAAGCTTGTCTGCACTCCGGAACTGTGAGCGGTTCTGTATCCGCATGTCGATGGTTATCAACGAGAGAGGAGCCAACTTGATGTGGCCAAAAGGCAGGAGAGATAGCTGCCTCAATCTGCACCCACAGCCATTCTAGGGCACCCCTTCTAATCCAGGCTGCCGCCCAAGCTTGGTGCTGATGAGGAGGGAAGTCTTCTCCAGCGCAAGAATGCTTGGCAAGAAGATCTGCAAGTTCATTCTCTGGGCAGCCCTGATGCGAACGAACATGCGAAACTGTCGGGTCAAGAGACGGTCTCGCAGCACATGCAGCTTGCATGGCTGCTCGGCAAAGAGGGGCAACCCCATCGGTGTCACACCAGCCAAAGGACCCAGTCGCCTGCTTTAGGGCTACAATGCAATCTGAAAAGATCCCAGACCTCTGGTGTCCGGGAGACTGCAGGAGCCAAACAGCTGCCCAAAGGATGGCGTGTTGTTCACCACAAAGAGCACTGGCCCGACTTGGGACCATGAACAGGCTACTGTGTTCATCGGTCTGGACCTGGCCTGCGGCCCAACCAAGAAAGTAGAGACGACCCTGTTCATGGCCAAAAACACAAAAGGCCCATGATGCACAATTCCCGTCAAAGGAGCCGGCCGTGAAGACAGATAGTCCGTCATAGGACTGTGCACTCCCAGATTCACAAGTGTACAGGAGCTGTTGGACGCAGGCCAATGTCTTCATTCCGCAAGGCA